TAAATTCTGGATAAAAATTAGTATGTAAAAAGTAATTTATATGGATACATTGATAGATGGGAATTATACTTCTATGATTAGGGAAAATGAATGAAGTATCAGTTAAGGTCATCATTTTCAGCACTAGGTGTGTAAGATTTCACTGATTGATTGTGGCCCGTGGTTCTGGCTTAGCGCATTAAAAGGATGGTGAGGCCAGAACAAGATACAAGCTGTCACTTATTTACATCTGAAAAGGCAAATATGTCTCTATTATTTAAGCTGTGGTGCAGAGGCTTAATGTGATGAACTGAATATAACGTTGCTTTAAGCACTATGAAAATCAAAGGGATGTCTCCAGTCATTGCCACCGGCTGTTCTGTTGCATGAAATACAGCCCTGAGTTAAGAACACCTCAGGAGCAGCCCCTAGCCACTAAAGCACTTGCAACTAACCTCTCAGTCACAATTAAGACAACTGTTTCCATGTACGTGATGACTGCTTTGTTGTAACAGTACAGTTTGCTATTACTGTTTGTCTTCTGTTGCGTTGTCTGCATGCCCAGCGCATGTTTCCATTAAAGTTTGTCTAGCTCCCGTTTTCCCCTATTTTCATTACACATTCTCTGCATACCTGTTTATGATTCAGATTTATTTTGCTTGTTTTCTGTTAATTGTAGATAACACATGGAAAGGAAATAAAACCCGAAAGAGCATCAATAAAGCTTTTCATGGCCCTTTTACAATCAGTAGCATTTTAAGTAGATATTACAGGTCTGATTGTGTAATTAAAGTTGGCATTTGTCGCTTAAAACCATGGGGTTGCAGATTGCAGCACTGAATTACACGTTACTTCCCATAAAAACAATTTAAGTACCTTTTGCAGTGGCTGCTGTTCTGGAACTTGTCCTTTTTTATTTCAGATTAATTGTTAGGGATACCCAAAAGTGTCTAATAATTATTTTCACATCTTGTCTGTATCAGTACAGAAAACTTTTAGCACTGGATTAGCTGACTGGTAGTTCTGGGTAGTTTGTCTGAGGTGGTGCTGAGTTCCTGTGTCTGTGCAGCAGGCAGACCATGCGAGTGTCCAGTAATTCTGTGTGGGCTTTGTGTATCTCAGACAGGGATCCTGCCAGTTTAGAAGAGTATCTCTGAAGGGCTTTCCTGTATCTTGAATGTGGAATGTTGGGCATTAGTGATCAGCAGTGGTGATGAATAATTAATTGAGCACTCACAGGTGAATCACTGGCTGCAAATGACACAACCTGTGTTGCAGTAGCAGTGCCGGCAGCGTTTGGATAAGCTTCAGTCTCATCTATCTGTTTATTCTCCCCCATCCCCTGCCCTTCTTTAATGCAAGATTTTTGAATTCAGATTTGGATAGAAATAGCCTGGTTTGATGGTTTTGACTTACCCTGATTTTGAAGAAACAGCATCACTGAATTTTACTCCATCTGGCTAACATGAGATAGATAGATCTTCAGCGCAGGGTAGATATTTCTTCTAATAAACTGAGCTGTAAGGCGGTGTTTCTTTAGGGACAGAGTAAAATAGATACGACTGCAGTGGAATGTGAGCTGTGATTCTTTCCCTGTTTCAGTGGTGTAGTGTCTGTACTCTGGAAATTTAGATTGCTTAAAGGCAGTTAACCAACCCTTCCCATATCCATAGCAAGTTGACACTTAGATCTTTCTAGGTCAATATGTGAGGTACAAAGGTGTGAGGTACAATAACGTATACTTGGCAGGTACAAGAAGTTCTAGCAAACAGTAGCAAAATTCAGTATGTTGCATAATTCGGCTGCTTTTGAATTGTCCGGGCTATGTGCAGAAGTGGGAATGTCTAATTATTGTGCCATTCACAAATACCTGCTTGTCTGCATAAAAACAGTCCAGAACGTTTGTAATCTACTAGAGCGTTAGCAGCACTAAGCTTTAGTAACTTGCTAATAATAATAATACACACTGGTTGTGTAACTCCTGAGCTGCTACCAATGGCTCTACGTGTCCAAGTAATGGTACAAGAAAACAAAAAAAAAACAAAAAAACTGGGACCAAGCTGCATTTCAAAAGAGTATAGCCATTAGGATTCCAATTTAAATGATTTTGGGATGAATGGCTCCTGAAGACGTCGAAAGCTTGACCAGTCAGAGCTGCTGGAAACATGGCTGCTCTCTAGGCTATCTCGATCACAGTGCGACAGGCAACGCGATCAACAAAGCAAGTGATGGGCAAGGCCTTGGTTCTGTCTTTGTTTGGGGGTAAATAGCTGTGTGATGTTGTGTGACTGTGGTGGTTTTCAGTTCCTTTAACAAAAATCCAATCCTCCTAATAATGGAAGTCTGAAAAAGACTTCGATAAATGACGTCTGACCTCATTTCCCTCGTCTTTAAGATCGAATACCTTAACTGGGATGCTGGAGATGAAATGCATGGTGTAATCTCTCTAATTTCTGCATGTTTTGATTTTGTTGTGTCACTAGGGGAATGGGGAAAGTGGGAAAGGAGCTTTTACAGAAAGAAATTCTGAAAATTTTTGTAAATGCTCCTGGGCAGTTTTGACCTATTTTTCTGCTGACTCATAGCTAATACCTTTTATAGATCTTTTATGCCCCAGTAATGTCACAAACGTATTTAAGGTGGCTGATGTGTATAACTTCTACTGTTCCTCTTAGGTTTGCAGAAAGTGTGATTGTTACTGTTCCAAACATTTGAGTAAGCAGCAGAATTGAATGCTCTCCTTTTAGGAACAACAATACGTAAAATATTATGAATTGACTAGCAGAGCAAAGCACAGTAAAATTCACACTGAAGTTTAGCAGCTCTTACATTCCTGTTTCTCCACCTGTAAAATGGGTACTAATCCATTCATACCTTCTAATTTCCTTGGCCTCCTGTGTCTCCATGAGAAAGATCTCATTGGCCTGTGTCATTCTCCAGGCAAAGCTTATACACAGCCACATTGTGCAGGGAATCAGGTTAACTGCAGAATACTTCAGTGTTGCGAGGCATCTGGCTGAACACTTTGTTCACTGTCTCTAGGTGGCAGAAACTGCGGAAACAAACGAAATGGTTAATGGAGCTGCAGAACAGAGGACAAGTTCAAAAGAGTCCAGTCCTGTTCCTTCTCCAACAGCAGACCGCAAAGCCACGGCTGCCATTCAGGCTCAGACTGCTGCTACCCTACCAGCCAAAACACAGGAGATTCCTTCAGCTCAGATGGAGGGCTTCTTGCATCGTAAACACGAATGGGAGACACACAGCAAGAAAGCCTCCAGCAGGTAAGAGTGCTTGATGTTTAATGAAGATCGCTGCTTAATAACGCAGATACTTGCATCCAAGCTCACTGCGATGTATGGTTCGAATTTTGGATGATCCTGGGTTGAGCCAAGAGCTTATGGGTCCCTTCCAACACTGGGCATTTTGTTATTACATAATAGTCAATGTTATCACTGCAGTTATTGTCTTCTCGCAGCTCCAAAAATATTTTAAAGCTCCTGTTCTAGAAATTGCATATGCATGATTGAATAATGTATTTCATGAGGTTGCAATCTAATCATACGTGTTAGAAGATGCACTATTGGCTTATATTTGGAAGGTAGAAAATGGAGGCATGAAGATATGATGACTTTCCCACTTCGTGTGATGAATTTGTGGCAGTAGTGGGATTTGATTCCAGTTCTCTCAAGTTGTGCGTTACTACAAGAAAAGAAAAACATGTAGGTGTAAGAACAGAAATGCCCGTATTATTCTGACATCTTCTTCTGTTTGCACGTTAGCACTTTCCACCTACACTGTAATCTGTTCAGAAGAGAAGAACTAGTGAAATGATTTTGTGTGCCTTAGTTGATTCTGTGCCTAAGGACTCAGTTGTGTGGTCCTCAAATGAGCAGAATTTCTGAGCTTTCTCCCTGCAGTGGAAAATCACATGCTGGTTCGTTGTAACCTGAGAAAGCTCTTGAGAATAGTTGTGTGACTTGGCTGAAAAGGAAAGTGTTGACTATTGAGCTACACCAACACCTGAGGGATGTGGTCAGAGTTGAGGCGCTCAGCAGAGCTGAGTGCAGATCATAAGACAAAGGATCTGCACTACAGGACTACCATTTTTCTTCAGCTAGAGTTGCTTCACACCAGAGAACTAATTTGGGGTTGCAACAGCTGCTAATACTAACATTTAGGGACCCTTATTTCTACTAACCATTGGTTTTTGTAACTGCATTAGACAGTGAGGTAGATGATGTCACTAATCACTCCTGACAGTCAAGGATTTCATATTTAATTTCTTCACTAGCTTGCAAATGAGAACTCCCTCTACAATGAAGTATAGTCATCAAAAGGTCTATCAGTTTTCTCCCAAGAATGTAAGCTGCACAGTCTGCCAAACGATCCACCCACTGCTAGGAAACGCTTATGTGCTATCAGAGAGCTCTGGAAACCTTTCATTCCATTTGGCTCAAAGTCAGGACTTCTGTCTTGAAGTAGTGCTTGTATGAGAGAATTTTTGTCTGCATTTTGCAGGACATAGTATACTGTACTTCTGTCCTCAGGTTGAACTGGTCTCCATTATCTTATAGCAATCATTGTGTTCAATTTTGCCAGTTTTTCAAGCAAGAGCATTAGATTTATAAGTATTTTTGTTGTTTTCTGTGTCTCGAAGGTCATGGCATAACGTGTACTGTGTCATAAACAACCAAGAGATGGGCTTCTACAAGGATTCAAAAGCTGCTGCTTCTGGCATTCCCTATCACAATGAGATCCCAGTCAGCTTGAAAGAAGCAGTCTGTGAAGTAGCGGTCGATTATAAAAAGAAGAAGCATGTGTTCAAGCTAAGGTAAACCTGCTGACGTTTCTTTACATGAGAAATAGCTGTGGTGGGTGTGTTCACTCTGCAAATTCACGGGCAGGATCCAGCCCAAGAGCTGATGATGACTATTAACTGCAGTATCTGCTTTTCTGAACAGGGTTTTTCCCAGCCCTGAAATCTGGTGTGTTTATCAAAAGTAGCGATCAGTATCAAAACAGTAATGGTACTTATTTATGAGATAAGACTAGATACATAAAGCTAAGAGTCTGCACTTAAAATCCCTGAGCTTTCCAACTGCTGCCTCTGGAACTGAATGAAAAGAGCTGAGTGTTCATGGTTCTGCTCTTCATAAAAATCTTTTGTTTAATTTTTTTAGTATGGATTTAGGAGACTGTTGAAGACATCCATCGATCACATTTTCAGGTTTTGAACGTGTTGCAGACAGTCACTTTTGAAGTATATGAAGTATTTGTTGTTCAAAGGATATAAAAACACGGCTTTCAGTTCCAAAACTGTGTTTTACTGAGTAATACTTCAGTGCCAACAGTTAAAAAATATTGTACTATTACACAGCTGCTAGAGGACTCTTTCAAAGGAGACTCACTTTATGAACTGACTGGATTGTGTAATCTAAGATAGGTTTTTTTCCAAGTCTACACTGATGCAAGAATCCTCTGAATACAATTCTTATTTAAGGAAATTTGCTGCTAACCTTTTTGAAGACAGACCTGCAGCTCTGTGATTCATCCTGCACACTATTAAAACATCTCTGAATTGATAATGTAAGAATAAGGTGTTCCAGATACAAACCTAAGCAGAAAAATCAATTGCCCTTCTTTCACTGACACCTGTATCAGAACTGCTTCAGTATCATGTGGCATATTTCCTCAGAGTTCACCTGCTCATTGTGGCAAAGCTCCATCTCCAGGCTGAGAAGAGCATCTGGGAGGATTCTGCAAAGGCTGAGGCCTCTGTTATGCAGGTTCACGCGCAGGCAGTTCTCACAGAAAAGCCTCGTAGCGATCTGTGGAGAGTACAATGGAAATATTTTCCTTAATTTTTTACAGAAAGCCAGGCATAGTTGAGACCTGTGCTCTCTTTATCTTCAGCAGTGTTATCTTTAACAGTGACGTAGATGATGGGATCGAGTGCACTCTCAAATTTGCACCAAGCTGAGTGGTGCAGCTGATACAACAAAAGGAAGTAGTGCCGATCAGAGGTACCTGGATTGAAATGTGGGCCTGTGTGAACCTAATGAGGCAATCCCAGATATGAGTACAGACTGAGAGAAGAACGCCTTGAGAGCAGCCCTGTGGAAATGGGCTTGGGGGTCCTGATGGGTGAAAAGCTGGACCTGAGCCAGCAGTGTGTGCTTGCAGTCCAAAAGGCCAACAGTGTGCTGGGCTGCATGGACAGAAGGGTGGCAGCAGGCAGAGGGAGGGGATGTCCCATTCTGCTCTGCCCTCGTGAGGCCCCACGTGCAGTGCTGTATCCAGGTCTGGGGCCCCCAGCTCAGGAAAGATGTGGACCTTTTGGAGCAGGTCCAGAGGAGGGCCAGAAAGATGCTGTGAGGGCTGGAGCACCTCTCCAGCAAAGACAGACTGAGGGAAGAGATCTCATTACAGCCTTCCAGTATTGAAAGAGAGATGATAAGTAGGGGTGAAGTCTACTTCTTAAGTGAGTAAATTGTGATAGGACATGGGGGAGTGATCTTAAGCTAAAGGAGGGATGACTTAGATCAGATGTCAGGAGGAAACTTTCCAATGAGAGAGTTGTGAGGTGCTGGCACAGGCTGCCCAGGGAAGGTGGGATGCCCCATCCCTGGAGGTATTCAAGTCCAGGTTGGATGGGGCCCTGAGCAGAATGGTCTAGCATCTCATTTAGTGGATGCCAACACTGCCTATAACTGTGGGATTGGAACTAAATGATCTTTGAGGTCCTTTCCAACCCAGGCCTTTTTATGATTCTATGATAGTTACGTTCTTCCAAATGTCTTACTGCAGCTTTATGTTGTTTTGCCATTTAATGCTTCTTTTTCTGGAGAAAGATCAGGTGCTGCTTCCACTGACCCTATTACTTGTTCAGATGCTTGATCTGATGTAATTCAGTCTTTTTTTTTTTAATTAATATATCTTCATATATAACAAATGGTTAAATGTATCCCAGTTAAATTCTGAGTAAAATCAGCACAGTAATAAAACAGACGGAAGTTTCTGATCTTCATTGTGAGAAGATGCAGTACTTGTGAGCCATGTACAGTATGGTATCTTGACACATCATCACGGTCTGACAGCAGGGCAGCTGCAGAGTTTTGATGGGTTTCTACCAAAAAAATGTAAACTCTGGGTGTTGTCTGTGACTTTTGGCTTTTAAAATATCGAGTAAACTTTTGTACTGTCATTTGCAAGATAGACGAGATCTGCCTGAAAGAGCAAGTACTGAAATAAGCCATCAGCTGCCAAAGATCTTGACCTGTGCAGTGCAGCGTGACGTACTGAACACTGACACTATGATAAGCATAGGGATCAGAATATAGTGTGTGTGGCTGGATCTGCATGGCAGTATGAGATACCAGAACATCAGTTGTTGGCACGTATTTGTGCCTGTAGAGATGTTATGACTTTCCTGTATGTCTCAGTCTGGTTATGTACTGTAGCTAAAAAAGCAGGAATTGAACCACTGTGACTGCTGCTAACCTTGATTTGCGATGGGTGTTTTCTCTACAGATTGACTGATGGCAATGAATACCTCTTCCAAGCCAAAGATGATGTAAGTTTGTTTTTCTCAGTCTATTACTGATGGGGATTCTGTGCTGTTGGACAAGGGGAAATAAAAATTAAAACAAAAAAAACTGCAAAGAGCTTAGGAGTGCACTGCAATTTTCTGGCCTCCAGTCATGTATGTATGTGTGCATAACGATTGAGGAGTCTCAGATGCAGATGGAAGTAGACAGCTCCTGCAGGTGCATAACCAGAGGAGTGCCAGATGATAGTTAGCACTGTGTGGATTCCCCATTTCTATCCGTTCCCCATCTGCAATGCTGAATGCGAGAGCGAGCGTGGTGCATGGGTTGTAACAGCTTTCTACCTTTCGGGCTTCTTGAAGGAGGAGATGAACACGTGGATCCAGGCCATCACATCAGCTATCTCATCTGATAAAATCGAAGTGTCCCCGACCACTCAGAGCACTCCAGCCTCCAGCCGTGCCCAGACCCTGCCTGCCAGCGTCACAATAACCAGCGAGTCCAGTCCTGGCAAGAGAGAGAAAGACAAAGAGAAAGACAAAGAGAAAAGATTCAGCCTTTTTGGTAAAAAGAAGTGAACTCCATCTCCACACACTGCACTTCTCTGACCGTTCCAGTGGAATTCCAGCATGCGAGCTCAGAACCAATACGTTACTCTCTGTGCCTCATGTTCCTCAATGTGATTGACATTTTTTTATTTATAGAGCATTTTAAAATAAAAAGCCAACAAAAAGGAATCTAAAGTTACAAGTATGAGGTGCATTGGGCAGCTTCTGTAGGAGGGGGAGGACCAGCTTTGGGGGGGTTGTTTTTGTTTGTTGTTTTTTTTTTAAATGAAGTTAGTGTAGATTAGATCTTACTATTTAAACTGTTCCTCAATTTTGTGAGGCTGTCTTGGAAAATAACCCACTCCTAGTGCTATTGGTATGCAAGGCAGCGGTGCTTTCAATCTACTGTGCACATCAAAACCCAATGGACAAATTTTCAAAAAATGTTCACTTCCATTTAAGGTTGTAATGCTGAGTCTTGACTAGTGGAGCCTCCCATTTCAATTCTAACATTTACTAAAATGATAGCGTATTATCTTTCCTGTAACAGAGTGCAGGTATGCATTAACTTACAGACAAACCATTCCTGTCCTGGCATTGGTTATTAACACAACCTGGAGCTTTTCTGCATCAAGTATGACAGATAAGAATGTTATCTGAGATGGATAAGCAGGCTGATACAGTTTTAAATAATCTGTAATTTCAAAAAAAAAAAAACCTTTTTTTTTGCTGAAATACATTATATTGTATGTTTCAGATAATTCTAGTACAAAGTATAATAAGACTAGATGTATAATAAACCCTTTAAAATCATTGATAAGTGTAAAAGTGGAACTGAAGCATTTACTGGAAAAGTAATGTTACTCAAATGGTTACTTGCTTGTCAGCTGCAGCACTGCGTGTTATAATTTTGCTACATTACCTTGCTCTTTGATACATAGTGTGCATTTCTCTGTCACTGTAACTATTGTAATGAAAAATTTTCATCTTACTGCACAATCAAAAATTACATTTAATAGGAATGAACTTTCGATGACTGGGCCTGTAGTCAAGAGTAGTACTGGAACTGGTTTTCAGTTGTATCGAACTGTACCTCTAGACTTTTACCCTATCTGTTAAATATATGCTATGTCATTAAATGCTTTTAAAACTAAATATGCTGGTTAAGTTTCTTATTTCATTTCTGATAATGTTAAATCATAATTTTGAAAGGATCAAAAATAAAGTTATTTTAAAACGTCTTCTCTCCTGTGCACTGAAGCGAATGTCTTAAGTTGTAATTCCGTTTTTTTGTGTGTGCAAAACTTCATACTGAAATAATTGTTATCTCTCTTCTCACTTTTCTTTACCTTCCCTTTCCCCTCACCTCCCACTTGCCCTCCCTCCCACCCTTCCCCTCGGATTGTGCCCCCAAACAAATAAAATAAAAATAAAAACAAAGAGGGAATCATTGTTTTGTGAAATAACTTCAGATGGAAAGCCAATGCAGCGCAGGCTGGCACGTTTCTAAACCAGTTCCTTGGACATCTCGTCAGTGCAGTGTCTGCATTCTTTCCATGGGGTGTGCTGGGTGTGCTGGGTTTTCTAAAATCTTGGGTTATTAAGCAACTAAATATTCATGCTTTAATATTACATTGTTCCAATCTATCAGAGATCTATCAGTAGGATGACCACCAGTCTTGTAAATGTAAAAGTTTAATGCAAAAAGCTGAGGCATGATGTTAGAGTATGAAAATTGTCTTTGTTGATCAAAATACAAAACTGTTGATGCCTTACTGTGTGTCACTTCAATGAAGCTAACAAGATAGGCAAGTAATATTTAGCAGATCAATCTTAGCTAGCTGTTGCATGTCGTAGAGCAGCGATGTTTTTGATCATGCCTGCAGATTTCTGTTTTACTTGTTTGTCTTGCCTCTTAAGTTGTTCTTGAAAAGTATTTAAACCTTTTTTGCTTAGGAACCAATTTCAAGTTCCTGAGGAGCTTGAGTGAATTATTCTAAGTCTCACCTGCTTTCACTCTTGGATGCAATTTCCATGCAGACAGAATTGGTGGGTCAGGAAAAGCATCCTCTGACTAAACCAGGTCAGAAAAGGCAAGTCCTGGCTTAGCATAGTTCCCTCCTGGTTAGATTCCGAGTAGCTTCATCACAGCTGTGTTTCAGTGAAGGGGACTGGGCCCTTAACAGGGGCTAGAGCCATTGCAGAAGCCCAGAGCAGTCCACTTTCCAGCTGTGTTGCTCTCATTGTTATAAGAAATAATTCCCTAGTAAGGAATGCCTGCCCTCCTTTTCTTCTCTTGGTGAGCACCTTATACTGAAATGTGAGCCGTGTCGGTTTTCAGGGAGCTGCACCTGAAGAGTCCTTCCCATGTTCTTGTGAATCGAGCTCAAGGAGGATGAAAATCCCCAAACCTTTAATCTGTGGGAACTAAGCATATGTTGAGTAGGAAGGTTTTCTTTTAGATTGATGCAAATGATCTGTTAACCCATCTGCTTTTCATAGAGCACGTTCTGTTGTAGAGATCCGCTGTGTATGAGGGAGATTAGCAGTGAAGTACAAGACACGTATGACTAAATTATGTTCCTGTGAAATGCTGTTTTAGACTGTTTTTCACTTCGGTGTGTTCTCTTCTTTATGATTGAGTTTGCAGAGAGTAGCCTTAAAACGCGTGGGGTCTTTACGAATATGCTGTTATAATAAATAGCTTGCAGGTATGACACAACATTGCCTTTTATTTGTGGATGTTTGGGTTTTTCTACCTTGACTAAGCACAGCTGAGCTAAAACAGAAAGTCAATCACAATTAGTTGAAACAAACATGAGACACTTTCTTTCCAAATAAACAGAGGGGCATAATAAACAGAGAGCACCCCACAAAATCGGGCTCTGCTAAACAGTGTGCTCCATGTTGCAAAACTACTGAAGAAAGCAGAATTCAGCTCTTCTGACACTGCAGCTCTGCCTGTAGTCTGAGCAACAGAGGGCATCCTGACAGCAAGAGGAGCTGGAGATCTCAGCCAGATGAAGTTCAGCTTGTTTTCCTGAGGGCTGATATCAAGAACATGAATTCTGAGGTCAAGAGAATATAATTCAGGTAAGAAGCACTGTATTCCTACTCCAGAAGCATCAGAACTGGGATTGTGCCTGTGATTACCTGCTTGCAGTCCACTTGTTTTTCAGCAAGATTGGGATTTGACTTCTCTGTTCTCATAGTCTTTATCATAAGAAATTCCCCATGGGCAGACACCCAGATCCCCATGACCAATAGGTCTCTGTTCTGTACCGTCAACCAGAACCAGTGTATTTGCAAACTCAGCTGATTTTGTAGCTGGGCAGGAGGAGGACACATACATGTTAGGAATAGCACTAAAGCCTTTCTGGTTGTAACAACGAATGGCTCCTGTTGGTGGATTGAAGATGTTCAGCACTTGACGGTTGTATGATGACCTTAGTTCTCAAAATCCCCTCAGTGTGTTGCCTGTGGTGCACTTCATTTGGCTGTTCGTTTCACCTCCTCCTAAGCAGCTTGGGTTTGCAGACTTGTTAGTGACCTGGCCAGCAAATTCCTCCTTTGATTTCTTTATCTCAGATGTCCTGAGGAGCCCTAACAGCACTGAAGTTTGTTTGTTAGCACTTAACAGTTGAAACAGTAGAATTCACATACACTGTTTTGTTATTTTGAGCAGCTTGATGGCAATTTATTCTCCCCTACTCCTCCCATGTAGATTCCTGAGAGCTGAGCTGTTGCCAGGCAGGAACTGTAGTGTGGCTGTGAGTACATTAGTGACTACTGGGCTGTAGGGGAAGCAGAAGAGTAGGATTCTAGTTAGCCTTTCCATCCCAGCCCAGGCAGCTCTCTTCTTCAAAGACCTGTTAATGCTGGACCATCACTTACCTAGTAAGATGTTGTCCCAGGCTACTTATCCAAATATTTCTATGCTACAACTGTCATAGCTGGCCAAGATTCTACTCTTTTTGGGGCTTTGCTTGTTTCTGTTTCACCTCAATTTAAAAAGCACCATGGCAATTACTATACTGGTACAGTTCTGCACATTAGGCAGCAGTTGCTTTTCAACACATAGTGAAGCTTGCCAATTTTAGTTTATTGTAAATTAGCAAGGAATATGAAGCTATTTTTCAGCTTCCTTAAAGGCCTCGAGTAACTTCATCAGTGGGAACTGACCATGCTTTCTCTGATAGAACTTGCTTCAATGGCAGCACTATTGTTCTGATTTGTCCCTTGTTTCACAGTTTGCCTCATGCAAATGAACACCTCTGCCTCCACATCATTGAAGTAGGAGTTGGCAAGAGGCCTTGTGATGAATAACTTTCAGAATATGTAGGCAATACCTGCAAGCCCTTTGTATGCTGTAAATAATGTGGGTGTTGTTTTAGAATATTTTTGCAATTCTAGATGTAAATGAAATTGAAAATACTATGTAGTGTTTCACTATACAGAACACACAGTAGCTTTAATGACATGGGTGACGATTCCTTAAATTAATTGCTAAGATCAACAGTTAATGACATAAGAAATAGAAAAGTGAGAAGAAAAAGATCATGATCTCCTTGATTCAACACCACATAGAACTACGTGGGTTTTCATCAAGGGTGATTTTATTTCTTTTTAGTACTGCCTTAGTGCTTCTATTTCCTCTTACACAGACTAATGACTGTGGCTCTGTGTATCTACCTTGCAGAACTTAATGCAGTGATTTAGAATATACTACATGCACCTCACAACATTAAGGTACTTTCAAAATCCTTTTCTGCCTTGCCAAGCTGCAAGAGTATGCTTTTTCTGGAAGTACAGGATATAAAAGCCCTGCCTCCATATGTTCAAAAGTAAAATACTGGTCCACAAGTTGGCTTACTGTGCTAAGCAAGAAACTTGTAGAAGGAATAGTGCTTTAATCAACTTTGGTACTTCCTTTCTTTTACCACATCTAAATAATAGAATAATGTATTCTGTAGAATTACTTATTTTAACGTTTAATTGCTTGAGTTGTCTCTCTCACTGAATCCCTGAGGAAAAACTCTTCTGCCCTTCAGGTTGTTTTTGTTGTTGCTGTTTCTCTTGTGTTGCTATGATTTTTACCCAGTTTATCTGATTCTTTCTGTACAGTGGTATGAACATGCCAAGGTCGAGTTCAGCTCCTTCTAATTCATGAGCTGCACAGAGTGCATCTGGTCCAACTGCAGAACAGGCAGAGCGAGCAGCCTTCTCAGCTGCAGTAACTTGGCAGAGCTCAGCCTGCTCTACTCTGCAGTACTCCAGCAGTTCTGCTCTGTGCGGTCAGGCTCTAGCTGAGGAGTCAGTATTCAGTGCTTGAGCAAACAATCTATTTTCTGTGCTACTGCTGAATGCAATTTACCCCATTGTTAAGTATTTTTCTCTAGCTTTGTGACAGCAACTCAATGAATATTCTAATTTTGCTGGATTATTCTTTTTTTCCCCAAGGATTGGAAACAAAATTGAAATTCAAATAAGTCGAAGCATCAAACAAAACCACAGTTGAGTATTTTAAGTACTGCAGCGCAGGGGGCAAATAGTGAGAATAATGCTAAATGTATTACAAAATATATCAACGAAATGCAAAAAGCAAAACATGCTAACAGTTTTGCTCCTCATTCAGCCTGCACCCTTTGTTACTCTGCCTTTTAGCAACCGCCCAGCAGGGCTGAGATGTCTTATCAACATGTGCTAATGCTACTGAAGCAAATCGAGACCAGTTGTGTGCACCATCACCTGATATCTGAGTCACTCTGTAGCCAAGGCAGCAGAGCAGCTTCACGAAGCTCACGTGACCACATCTGCAGTGTGTCATAATGCAGCATATGCAGTGTGCACCCAGAAAACGGAGCAGCCCGAGGAGGAGAGCCTCTGCTGTCACAGCCCCAGGACAGTCACAGAACTCAGGACACCTCCTATGATCTGCTCTGTGAGAAGCTACCAATTAATTCTGTAAGGGATGATGCAGGATTTTGTGCATAAGCATTTCATAATGAATTCTCCCTTGCTTTTGCAGCTCGGTGTGCTCATCTGCCAGCTGACTGTGAACATCAAGTCTTTGATACAGTTCAATTATACTTGTTGTTCTATGTTTGAAGTACCATTTAATTTGTTTATTAAAATAAGTAATTTCACATTATCTTCAACCTTTACATGAAATTCTATGGTGGTTCATGATGTCACAGCTAGAAGATATCTAGAGCTAACACCAATTTTGTTACTGCTCTCTTACTGGTACCATTATTATCTCACATCTCACATCTAGTTGAGACAAAAAAATCCCCTTGTTCTCAGAGTACCAGCATTTGCCATGAGAGGTCACTCTATCCAGAAAGATGCTGAGCTGCAACAGACCTGCTCTTATCTGAACAATGCACCTGAACAATGAAGAAGTGCTTGTGAACTCACTCTGACGGCGCTGGAAGTAAATCAGCTATTTGTATAAAAGCTACACTCCACACTTCCCCAAAAATGGAAGAAGAGAAAGAGTTGTGAAGATTACTCACATCAGTCCACATTCTTTAAATGGCTCTTAAACAGAAAGCAGTGAAAAGGAAGAAAACGCGTGATTTAAAACAAACTTCTTCCATGACTGTTTTTTTTTCTTCACCCCAAATAAATTGGAAGCTTGCACTGGATCCAAACGAGGCAGAAAACATACCATGGAAAATTAGACAAGTGATACTCAAAACTTCCTCGGTTTGTTAATACAAAAATCAAATTGAACACCATACATTGTGAGTCAGCATCTCGGAGATCATCAGTATGCTGAAGTAGCAGGGCAATAAATGATGCTCGGAGGTGGACTTTGAATCAGAGCACGTGTGTGGAATTTGGAATGTAAGAAATGTTGTAGTGGTACATTTAGTGTTGTTGCAAGGATTTAGAAAAATTGGAGCCTGTTATTTCCTTTTAAATACTTGATATTTTTGGTTAAATCAATGCATATAGCAGATGAAATTGTCTTCAGAAAATATTTGCACCTATAAGCATTGCAATTCAGAAAACTTCACGGAAAGCCCAATGCTGGCTATCACCTAGTTGGGGAAACAGGATTTTATTTTTAGATTTTAATGCTCAGAAAATCAAAAGGAAGCTTTTTGCAATCCAGATAAGTCAGGAGGCAGTACTAGTGCCACCGGTACCAGAGAACCAAGGGGCCCTAAAGTAAAGCACATAGCACGCAAAGCTCACGTGCCTTGTTTGTTAGTTCAGCATAGAAAGAAAGAATGACAAGATTTCTCATCCTTACAGGACAGCTTCCAGGTGAGATACATCACCTATCAGAAAAGAAACATATTCTAAAGAAATACTCATTAGTTGCTTATCAGTCTGGCACTTAAGTTGCTTGGGGCACCATTGTAGGCAGTGTAGAAAGGCTACCTGCTCAGCACTGTGTTTATAACTGCTTTTAAAATCCTGTGCTTTATGGCAGTTGAAACTTGTAACATGGAGAGAAGGAAGCAGTGAGCCGGGCTCTAGAGCAGAAGCTCTTAGGATGGAGATATTCAGATGCCATTCCTCCTGTTACTGAGATGCTGCACGTAGAAAACAAAAGAGTAAAAGTTGCCACTAAAAACCCTGCTGTTCACTGCTCCTTCTTCATTTCATAATTATAAAGAAGCGATGATGAGGAAGGATCAATATATTACAATGCTGGTTGTGGTCTAGATGATAAAAGGAAGAGCCTGTATGCTTCTCTCTGGTTCAGTAGATTAAAAGTAACCTGGAAGCAACCTGTATTATCTTTTCCACAGAGACTGTTATCTTTGATGTTCAGATACTCTTCTTATCCCTTTACAGTCAAAGAAAGGCAAATTCCCTGCAATGGCCCTGCAAATAAGACAGATGGAAAAGAAAACACTAGGTCATTCTCAAAAGAATGAAGAGCTGGGTGCAAGTTCCCTTAACTTGGAAAAGAAAAGTCAGGTTTTATAAGTTATGTAAACTTGTGGCAAGGCTTGGCTCACATCAATCATCGTGGGAAGGAAGCTGAGTCAAGTCAGTGGCAGCCAGGACATTTAGCTTTAAGGCAAAGGACACCTCCATCCTTCCTGTGACAGAAAATAATGACAGCAGTTTCTGTGGGAAGCACAAGATCTCTGTGACAGTAGATTGGAATTCATCAGTGAATTCTGAAAGAATTACAGATTGCAGAAAGACAGCCCCAAAAGCACGCCTGGATAAAGGCTGGCAGTAACTCAGTAGGGATTATCAGGAAGACCCCTCAGTCCTGCAGCCCGTGGCACACTCAAACAGGCTGCTTCAGAGGCTCACTGGGTCTCTGCAGATCCTTCTGTTGGCTCTGGAGCTCTGGGCTTTGAGCAGGGACAAGCACAGCACGTTAAGACAGATGGTTTTATTGATCTGTTCTGTGTGGTAGTCCTGGATTGCACTTGGACATACAGCAAAACAAATAGATGATGGTTGGTTGGAAGAGCTTTCTCTCCAGGCTAGGATATGTCTGATCTTTCAGAAATTAGCTTGCTTTGCATTTGAAAATGGAAAAGACTCACTTTTTAAAATTATTCTTTTTTTCCCCCGCTACTGTTTCTGAACAGATCCTAACCTTTCATCAGCGCAGATCAGTATTTCCACCCACAAGGAATAAGAGCTTAGAGCCAATTCCTCTGTTATTATTCTGTAGTTAAATTGTAAAATCACTGAGAGGCATCAATCAGGACTGGATTAATGTAATGCCAGGCAAAAAAAAAAACAACCAAACACAACAGAACTAGATCACAGTTCCTGACTCTGATCCTTCCTTGTGACAAGTTCTTATGAATTTTATATTATTTAATCACAGCTCAAAAGGTACCTATTTTGGAAAACCAATTAATATGCCTTCTCAGTGCATGTGCAGTACATTCATCCATAAAAATATGAGTTATAAGTGGTATTTTGTGTAGGAAAGATCTAGGGCATAACACAGATGTTTCTGGGGGGGGAAATCTCAGTGTTCATTATTAATCACAGGCTCAGATATGTATGGAGTGGGCAGGATACAGCACAGAGGAGTAGAGTTAATACGAGACGTGATGTTTTCTGGCATCTATACAAGGCATGATTTAAAAGAAACAATCAATCAAAGGGAAACAGCTCAAACCCCTCAAAAACAGCAGCAGCAGCAAATGGTCACTTCAGCAGACTGAATACAGTAAGTATTACTTAGGCAATACCCATACAGAATGCTGCATTGGTCATATTTCATCTAATAATAATGATTATGAAGTAGAAACTGGAATAAATAGAAAAAGTCACCTACCTGAGCAAGACAAGAACGGTCTCTCATGAAGAGGGAAAACTTGGAATATATTTGGAGACAAAAGATGTTGGATAGTTAATGTGCCCATGCCTGCTCACCACCACAGTCTTCAGACCTTAGAAAATATTAAACAGAAAACAAACAGTAACTGCTTTCCTCAGTCTGCCACACGACTGTGTAGAGCCTCCACATGCATGTGGAACAGCTGCTCTCAGGCAGAGTGTTTTCTAAGCATCGAGGGGCATTTAAAAATTAGCTGTAAATGTGGTTATATGCAATATTGTAAATATGTTTGTTAGATCAAAACTTTTAATTGCTGCTGCCCACGTGTCACCAGAATAAATTGAAGAAAACGCATTTTTGTTAAATGTGATACCTAAGCCAAGGGTGATATATGGGTGTAAAGTTTTTCCTATTACCAGCACAGGCAACTCGTTAGTATGTGCAAGAGACAGAAGCTCACCTTTGCATGTTGCAGACAACTTATTGGGTCCTTTTTTTTTGTCCTAAGTTCTCTGCAGGGCCTGCAGGCAGCACTTCCTGGCAGTGCTCACTTTTCCAATGATACTGCTCTTCTGTAGGTAAACTGGAGGCTCTGCAGCCAAGCAGAATCTGCTTCTGATAGCACCTGACTCTTGGGGTACCTTTGGTGAAGGGCCTTCATCCATTCTGAAACAGTTCTTGGCAGCCTCCTCACCCCCCTCTGCAGGGGACAAAAGCAATGATTGAGGGTGGATATCCTTTACATTGCCTTCTCGGAAATCCTGTAAGTGGAAATTAAACATTAGATTAAACACGACTTCTTTCCTAACCAAAGGGCTTAATAAATATTGCTTCCTTGAGCTTACTGTACTTTGGCATAGCAAAGTTAATTTGTGCTACGTAATCCTGTTGCTACGCAAATAGTTTGTTTTTACATTTAAAATGAAAGAAAAAGTGTATGTAAGGAGATGCATGTCTCAGGCTAGGCTAATATGCTCTTGGTACAAGGAAAAGCAGTGTTGGTCTTTGAAATTTTTTATGCATCTTTTCATTACATTCTTAATTATGTTTTTAAGTATTTATTTTTATATGACTTAAATTAGAAAAACTTTCAGACCACGAGGGCATTTGGACATGGATGCTCTTTTTTTTTAAAGCTGAGGATCACACTTGGCTTAGTTCATACTTCTCAGCTTTCCCAGTACTTCTGATGCAAGAATTCCAGAATTCCATGCATGCTTGTTGCAGCTGCACATCTAAAATAAAGCTTATATTATTAGGGCTCTATTTCAGGAATTACACTCAGACTTACACACAGTATGAACACTGAAGAGAGACCTTGAAAAACATCGGTGAGGTTTATGTTGTACTGACAACGAACAGCAGGTTGCAGTATTGAGGAACACTTTTAGCAACGTGACAACTGATAAGAAATTAGCGAACTTTTTGTTTTTTTAATTGAAACAAATTACACAAGGAACTCACCAGGCAATTCAATCACCAGAATGAAATCATGAAACCTCTGTTAGCATAGATTATATGAAAATAAGTGAGAATGAACTTGTAGTTCCACATATTTAAAGTTTTTCTTTTTGTTGTTGTTGTTGTTGCCTCATAACTAGATGCTTCACTTCTACATCTTTCCTGTTTCATGTGTATTTAGTAAAGCAATGTGTATTGCTTAAAGCCTCCACACTTTGACCACACTAGATATCACAAACAGAAAGAGAATATGCCAAGTTTTACTGAAGGATGAAATATGAAATTCAACTAAACCACTGTTGCTCAGAGAAACGTGGCAGCCTTGCAATCAGAGACTTAAGTTTCTATTTGCCCTTGCTAAGTAAAGTAAAATGTAAAAGTAAGGTGTAAAAGGACCTATTTGTCATATGTATCATTTTAGAAGGTGTGTGTACAACACAACATTAACAACATATCATTAGATTGTTAAGATCACATGGAATTGATTCCATTGGATAATACAGAGATGAGATAGGATGAAGAAACCAAGCATTCCAGGTTAATGATTAGAGTATGCCAGTGATCAAAATGTGACCTCAGCAAGAAAAAGACTTTCTTTTGTTTATCATTAATAGACCAAGAGAAGGCAGAACTGAAAGTGAGCGAAAGGACATGCAAATGTAACAGGACTGATGGCACACTGAAGTGGTAGCATATGTAGGAATGCTCTACCCGTCTTGAACAGCCATGTGCTGTGTCCAGTAGCCAAAATATTACTGACCCCTGAGACAGTTTTTGACATTTATAGTGTTCTATATGAAAAGTGGAGAGAGAGAGATGTTTGTTTTTTGTTTTTTAAATAAAGAATAGATATGGGCCTTTCAAACTGGGAGTGAACCCTCTGGTATCTCTCACTGTAGTTGATGCTCAGGAAATATTCAGCTTGAAATCTTTAAATTTTTTTTGCAGCTAAGCAGGGAATTAGGAATTCATAATTCATTAACCATCTTACTACATATGCACATCCACTGAATGACTTATTTTTATATTTATTTTTTAAATTACAGTGTTTCAGATCAAACAGAATAATGAGATTAAAACTGTTTCTGCATCGCTGCATGGAGATACCTCACCTAAACCTGCAGTACAAGCAGCTTTGCACACCTACAAGTAATGCAATGGGTAGCTGTGACAATCAGAAAGATCAACATGGAGGAACAGTGATAAGGAGGCATAATGACAAAGGGAGCAGTACGATGGAAAGGGGCTACAAAGAAAAAGGAAAGCGTTCATTCATTTCTGAAGATGTAGGCTGCCAGGGGAAAACTCCATAAGAAGAAAATCTCCAAACAGAAATCCTTCCTCAGTGACAGCCCTTCAATGAGGTCTAAGAGAGGTGCAGCCAGGCTCCACCCCTTCTGGTCACACAGCTGAATTGCCTTCACCTGTGCACCTAGGGCTGACTGGGTCCTTTCCTTTTCCTTTTTTCCCCAGGTGCTCCATCAGTGGGTCAGGCTGGGACTCAACAGTTCCCATACAGCAGTGTAACACACAGCCTCCTAAAAGCTATTCTTGTTTTTGTCCTGATGTGGTTACATAAAGAGCATGAATACATGAGATTGTGAAAGGCTGTAGCAGGTGGCTCTTGAAAGACAAAGATTTTGCCTGCTTATTTGGAGAGGGTTCAAAGAAGGGCCACAAAGGTGTTCTGAGGGCTGGAGCACCTCTCCTAAGAAGACAGGCTGAAGGAGTTGGGCTTCTTCAGCTTGGAGAAGGCTCCAGGGAGACTGCATTACAACTTTCCAATATTTTAAGGGAGATAATAAACAGGAGGAAAAACAACTTTTTGCATGGGTAGATAGTGATAGTTCAAGGGAGAATGGCTTTAAGCTAAAGGAGGGAAGATTTAGATCAGATACGGGGAGAAATATTTTGTTGAGAGTGATGAGGTGGTGGCACAGGCTGCTCAGAGATGGTGCGGATGCCCCATCCATGGAGGTGTTCAAGGCTGGGTTGGATGGGGCTCTGGGCCGCCTGGTCTAGTGCTTGATCCAGTGCTTGGCAACTCTGTGGCAGGGGGGTTGAAACTGGTGATCCTTGAGATCCCTTCCAACCCAAACCACGTATTTATGTTAAGACTCCATTTTGTTGAATTACATGAAGTGCAAATATTCATTCCTAAATACAAGGTAGCTCAGCTGCTTGACATTCAAAGACAGTGAATGACCTCACTGTTAATGCTGCTAATGCCAGAAATCTTCCAAGACGATCTTTATGGGACAGAAACTTGTGCTTGATATTACACTATTTGGTCTTAAGACAAGATAATAATAATTTATTCAAAGCCACTACAACATTATCCCACAAATAAACATTGTAACAATAAAATCTAAGAAAGTGAAATATCACAAGCCCTTAAGAACTTATTTTTGTTAAAACTTAAATACATTGTCATTATTTTAAACACATTCTCTAAACATCTTCAAGGAGGGCAGGAGAGAAAGTTGATTTAACAATCGCTGTAAATTTCAAAGCTTCTAAATGGATTTATCTCAATGAGTGAAAGGTAGTCACAAAAACAAGCATAAAAATACTAGTCCTTACATGAATTTGAAATACTTTAAATAGTTTCTGAAAGCATTCAAATTACATGCAGAACTGATTTTAACAAGGGTTAAAATACAGTGTAGATAACAGCCTTAAAAGTCTTTGCAGCTACATTCCTCAAGGACCACAGGAAAATATTTTGTACAGGTACACCATACACTCTGTCATGTTACACCTGACATGTTACCAAGGGGAAATTAATTCAAAACAAAGCACTGGTGCTATGAAAGCACATCTGCCTTTTCTGGAACACTTAGTCTTAGTAACCAGCAGCAAAAGAGTCCCAGCAGATTTTAAACTGCAGAGCTCAGCTTGCAGAGGTTGCTGACTTTTTAGCCAGTCAGTGAATTAGCTACATATAAAACAGTTTATCCACATAGTCACAGAAACGCTTGAAAACTACAGTTCAGAAATCCCAAATGAGGTATTCTAATAGCATTTCTCTTGAAATGTTTTCATTTTGGTTTTTTTTTTGTTATTTACACAGTTTGTTTTCCTACCTGCAAACTACATTTGCTGTTCTCTATTTTCAGCCACTTTTCTGGTAAAGGGCTTTGTAGTAACAGATTGAACACTTGGTAACAACAATCATCTTAATATCTGTATATGTTTATATAGAACAGGATGTATGTTTTGCTGTGTGGTTCCTAGGAAGATTGAATAGGTTAAATGTTGGAAAGACAACCAAAATTTGAAGGGAGAATCAGCAACAGAACAAGGAGTAATAGCCTAAAACTGGAGCATAGGAAGCTCCATACTAACATGCAGAGGAATGTCTTTAAGGTAAGGGTGACAGAGCACTGGGACAGGCTGCTCAGAGAGGTTGTGGAGTCTCCTTCTATGCAGATATTCAAAACTCATCTGGACTCCTACCTGTGTGCCCTATTGTAGGGTACCTCCTTTAGCAGAGGGGTTGGACTTGATGATCTCTTGAGGTCCCTCCCAACCCCTGTGATTCAGTAATTTTTTTCTAAATTAGCATAAAAATTCAGATGTAATTGTAAGCTGAAAAAAGAAATTCGTTTTTTATTATGTAAATTTGCACCTGGCTTGTGCAGCAAGCCACAACATTTGAGAGAAGGATGGATGCATTCCAAAGACTTGGGAAAACCGTACAAAACATTTTATGCCGTTTTTGAGATTGCTGAGGGAAATACATGAAGAAACTAACTCACAAAGAAATACAAGGCAGTATACATCCCCAATAACCAACTTGTTACATGGAGAAGGCTGGCAACGTTCTACACTTTATTGAACACAACACTACGCATAAATAGTGCTTTCAGCTGTGAGTGGTCTCATCACTGAGCAAGAACGCCCAGCTGGTTCACTCACCTGCGTGTGCCTGGGGCTACCAGTGAGAGCTGTGGGCACCCGCAGCTGCCAGCTGTGCACCTGCCTGGAATATCGGCTGTCTGCTAATGGCGATATTTGGACCTCATCCTGGAAAGGGAAGCAATGCCTGTAAAGTGAAAGATCGGAAAGGCTAATGACCACAAGCATTAATTAATACGGCGGGCACCCGCTTTCCCACACCTCAGGGGCGCTGCCGCCCTCCACGCACGGCTAAGCCTTCGAGACCACGTTGGCCTGAGGGGCGCAGCGAGCCCAAATGGGCGGGAAGCGCGCAGGGCGCTGCCATCGCACCTCCTCCCGCGCCGCAGGACTGTCACCATAGCAACCGGCGGCGCGGCGCCGCGCGGCACCATGGGAGATGTAGTCACAGTCGGCCCGTTGCCTCGCGGCCGCTCGGCCGTACTAACTCGCGTTCCCATGAGGCGCCGCGCGGGATGAAGACGGGCGGGAGGGCCGAGCGCGGCCCCGTCGCCCCTGGGGCCCCGCCTCGCTGAGGGGGACGCACCTCCGCCCTCACACACCTCCCGGGGCGCTGTGCGGCAGCGGGCCGCGAGGGGCGGTGTGACCCGCGATGCTTGGGGTGCGATGCCGGGTTTCGCTCTCGGCTTTGCGGTGTCACCGCGCTCCTCCTCGGGCGGGGGGTGCCCGGTGAGGAGGGGGGAGGGGTTGCCTGCACCTTCCGCGGTGCCGCCGTGAGGGTCGTCGCCTCCGATAGAGGGGCAGAGTTTCGGAGAGGTTCGGTCTCGCTGGGCGATACTACGAAGCGGTGGATCGGCGGCACGAAGGGCGCCCGCGCCCCGCTGCTGACGGCAACGCGAATCCCGCTGAAGGGGGAGCGGGAGGGCAGCGAGACAGCGCGCTGCTCCTGGGGAACATCGCTCCAGAGAACGACAGCAAATAAACACTAATAAAGAACGCAGCAGTCCAGTCCTCCTGCCCACGTATTCCGTGGCAAGCCGCCCCGGGACACGAGAAGCTAGAATTGTTTGAATTGCACGATAGACGCGAAGAGGACGCGTTGGGTCAGCGGGGAGCAGCGCAGGACGGGGCGGAGGGGCCGGGAGAGCCCTGAGGGCAGGGCAGGGAGCCGCCGAACGGCTCAGCGCAGCACGGGCTGCAGCCAGGCAGCGCTCCCCGACTGCGCGTCCGCTACGCGCGCATCCCGCCATTCACAAACGCGAGCCGTTGGGTTTTTTTTCCTCGTGATTTTTTTTTTTTTTTTTTGGTCTCCTCTCAGCTTTGACCCAAAGATAGAAAGCTCAGCGAGGAGAGCGGCCCGAGGAGCGCCGCGCGGGGAAAGCAGGCGGGAACTGCGGCGGAGGAGGCGCGGGCAGGCAGGCAGGCAGGCAGGCAGGTGGCGGTGAGGCGGGGGAGTGGTAGGGCCGTGCTTGCGGCCCCGCTGGCGGCGCTCGGCCGGGTCGCAGCGCGGCGGCTGATGGTGGCGGCGCAGCGCTGACCGCCCAGCGCTGCCGACGCGTTTGGCGTCGACTACCGTCGCCGCGAAGCGCCGCCACCTGAAGATTCGTCGAGTCGAAAGGGGAAAACCCCGACGGGAGAAGGAGGAGGTGGGGGAAAGGAGGGGCAGAGACGCGTTTCGTGCGTGCCAGTGGGGAGAGGGGATTGGTTATCATGGCGGATCGGACGGCTCCCAGATGCCGGCTCCGTCTGGAGTGGGTTTACGGGTACAGGGGCCACCAGTGCCGCAACAACCTGTACTACACGGCGGGCAAGGAGGTGGTCTACTTCGTGGCCGGAGTCGGCGTGGTTTACAACACCCGAGAGCACAGCCAGAAATTCTTCCTCGGGCACAACGACGATATTATCAGGTAAGGGGGGTGACTTGTCTTTGGTGGGGTGGGGTTTAAATGAAGGGAGGGGAAAGCGGGTCGGCGCGGTTCCCCCTCCTCGCTTCTCGCGGCTGGACCTGGCGTCTTGGAGCCGCTCGGGTTTCGTGCCGGCGGTCGGGGTGAAAGCCGGCTGTCTGCAGGTTGTTGTGATTGTTATTTCCGTGGCATCGCTTCGAAACGTTGCAGTGATGAGATAGAAAGCTTTTTTTTTTTTTTTTTTTTTTTTTTTTTGTGCCGCACCAAATGCGAAACAGTTTCAGCGTGGCGATGCAATGGGAAGATCCTAATGCAACAACGAGCCCAGCACCTTGCTCTTCCCAGCGTTGGGACCTCGTCTCTCATTCTGTTGCCTTACAGCAGGCAGGCGCAGTTCCCTTTACACCCTGCACAAGTGTGCTGTAAACTCGGCCCGTTGATCAAACTGATCTATTTCTATCATCCTGAAAATCTTACGCCAAGTCAATTTTAGCTCCTTGTACCCAAGATAAAAAATAATCTCAGGCATGCTGGTGCAAGATGGCTACAGGAGGTCTTGCTCCTCATCTGGTCAATTTCTTGTATCTTTTTTTTCACCTTCTTTCTGAAGAGTGACTTTAACTGATGCTGTTGTGTTAGAGAAATACAAGATTTAATGCACCACACAAAGTAACAAAACTGTGGTTCCAAAGTTCCAAGTAGCCTTTTTAAAAAAATCTGTCCAAAACACAGAAATTGTCAGTATGTAGAAAATCAGAGTTACTTCTGCTCCTACTCTCCTCCTGTCAGATATCTGAACCTGGAATACCCTCAAAAAGGCATCATTGCACAGTGTGATGCCGAGCACAGCTAACTGCTGCCCTCCTGATTCACCTGAATTCAGTATGAATGAGGCATTTTCTCAGTGATCAGCACAGACCCAGGAGACTCATGGTGTGAGTGCAGGAACACATGCTGAAGTCAAAGTTGGGACACTTGCTAACAGAATCACGTAGCTGTCATACAATCATTCTGGACTCTTGTTTACAGAAAACTATCTGCTTTCCCCAGGGAGAGCTTTTGGCTGCTCTGTCCCAAGTAGCGTTTTTCTCCTTCCCTTTTATAGTCCATGATAAAGCAATAGCATTTCATGAGATACCGGGGATTGCTTAAGAATTTGTTATGGTTTTAAAGGTAGTGTCACTTCCAGAAGGCTATTCAAATAGACTCTTGTCTCCTCAGATTACTAAGATAAGAATGACTATTTTACTGAATCTGCAGTATCATGGAATGCAGGTTTTTCTTTCAGGATAACCTGTCAAGACACAAGTGCATATGCTCACTGCTTCTTTGGTTTGACAGAGATGCTTTTATTCTCCTTCCCTCACCTGCACCCTTCCTCTTTAATATCCCATCTACTGAGGAAATAATGTCCAGTTTATTAAACCTGACAACAGTTCCTGGCTGAAGCTGTCTGTGCTGTGTGACTTCTGTGCCTTGTCTTTTAAAGCACTCTTTAAAAGAGAGACCACTTTTGGCAGTCTCTCATTTAGAGTGTAAAAGGGCACTAGGAAGAACGTGAGTGACTGCTGTTTGTACTTCAGATGCTGCTCTGCCTGTTCTACTGTTTAAAGAAAATGAGTAATCACTTGTTCAAATCAGCAGGTGTTTTGACGACTCACTGTTTGCTCAGCTAGTTTTTAGCTTGTGCTTTTGAAAGGTGAAGTTTGTTCCTGTTCAGAACGAGATCAGAAATTTGTAGGATGACCATAATTTCAGCAGGGGATGAAATGTTTTGGCCCAGAGGGTGAGAGCAGGACTCAAGATATCGGATGATTTGAGCTTTTAGTGGCCTAGAGAAGTTGTTGTTGTGAGTGTTTTAAGGGAGGAAAGAGAGCTGTTGTTTGAGTCTCCAAAATGTTGTTAGAGTGTTCCATCTTTTGCGTCCATCAATGGTTGCCTTTGCTACCTTTGATGCAGTTTGTAGACCTTATTGAAGAACATGCCATCGCTGCAGTACTTCCAAGTAGATGGTTCCTTGCATGAATATAAATAATAGAATTGAAATTATAATACTTTAGACTTCACGGCATCCCACTGACACGAATGGACTGACTGTAATCCTTCAGTTTTTCTTGTTTTGTTGGTACTTATTTCCCTGGGACTAACTTCTAAACAGTAGTGTGTATATTTGCAGTCCAGCAGGTTGTAATTTTTAAGGAGGTTTGAAACATGATTAAAAATAAATAAATGAAGCTTGCAGACTTTGGAAAATACTGCACAATCATTAAGACTGGAAGGCCTTGAAGAGGGCAGAACTACTTCCAGGGGTTGCCATTAGCTCCTGCCGTGTTGAAAACATTCAGTAAATACAACTTTTTTGGGGAGGGAGAGGAACCAAGAAATGTTTCCTTGAGGTGTTTGTTAAAATCATGAAGGTGGATATTCTTCCTTGGTGAAAAGGTTGCGTGATTAAAAATGTACGCTTGCTTTTCATCACAATTTTAATGGTCTTGTCTCTTGCTTTCTGTCAAGATAATTCGGTTGGACATAATTTAGCTGTGGCAAAAATAGACCAGATTGTACTGGATTAATGAAGAAATAATTTGTTTTTTTCCCTTCTAAAATTCATATTTGAAAAATATGTTCTGCGCTCAGCTGTAAAGTAGGTGTTCAGAATATGGACAAAGCGAGTTCTGAAGTGTATTTCTGTGCAAAGCAGCTACAAGGTGCTGTACTTCTGAGCTCTTCTGCCTCTCACCTTCCTATGAGACAGGTTTCTGAGTTGCCTGGTTGAGCTCTGAAGTGAGCCCAGCTTTGTGGATGGGTTGCTCTGGGTGCCCTGCAGGGCTCCCTTTCAAGGCTACAGCAGTCAGTGGTTTTTTGTTACTTCCTGTCGTGTAATATCATTCTTCTTGCATGTCATGTAATTGAGGAATAATTAATACTATTGATTATCAAGTCTTGTCTTTATAAAGCAGGATGAACACTTGGTTGAAATTAATAGCATTGGTTTTCTGAAGATCACTGGTGCATTTTATTTGGAGCCCCACAAGACGTGCAATTTATGAAGTTTACAGTCCAAGAAAATGTAGCATACAGTAATCTTCACCCTCCTTTCCTTTTTTTCATGTTCATTTCTTCTGTTTGTTCTCAAAAATAATCTAACAGCTGAGGGGTGTTGAAGGTCAGAATAATCCTGTTTCCTCTGCTCTGCAAGCCCTGCAGTCTGCCCTAAGGTCTGTGTTCTAGACCACAAAGTATCACAAAATGTAACTCTGCATTTGAAGTGTGATCTACCTGAAGCATGGTAACTCAGGTGTGGGAGCTATGTCAAATGTTTTAATGAGCAAAGTGTCATGTAGGTTATCATGAAGCATGTAGCTTTCTTTCATTGGATTTGGTCATTTGTGCTTTCCAGGATTAGGTTTCGGAAGC